CCAAAATTCGGCAGACCCCATTAACGCAACATCGCATCATAACCAAAGAAAATGCCAGACCACTCCGTCAGAGTCCGTGCAGGGTTTTGACGCGGGAACGTTAGGCCATGAAGAGAAAAGTTGATGAAACACTGCGGCATGACACCATCTATCCGTCCAAGAGTCCATGGGCGTCCCCCGTGGTGTTAGTGAAGAAAAAGGATGGAACCCTACGTTTCTGCGTTGATTATCGCAGCTTGAACGAAATCACAAGAAAGGACGTGTATCCTCTCCCACGAATAGACGATGGACTTGATCGGCTCCATAACGCCAAGTACTTTTCGTCAACGGACCTTAAGACTGGCTATAGGCAAATCGTAGTCGATGAAAGAGACCGAGAGAAGAAGGCGTTTATAACACCGGACGGCCTCTTCGAGTTTAAGGTGATGCCCTTTGGTCATTGCTCAGCGCCTGCAACTTTTAAACGCGGTGGATACAGTATTGGCAGGATTGAAGTGGCAGACTTGCCTTGCGTACTTGGACAACGTCGTCGTGTTTTCCTCGAGTTTCGACGAGCATCTTCGGCGCCTTAAGGCTGTACTTCAAGCCATCAAGACTTCCGGACTCACACTGAAGCCAGAAAAGTGCAGATTTGCGTACAAGGAGCTTTTGTTTCTGGGGCAAATTATTGGCAAGTATGGAGTTCATCTCAATCCACGGAAAACAGCCGCCATCGGCGATCTCCCGCCGCCCACTGACAAGAAGGCGGTGCGCCAATTTCTGGGCCTGTGCGCCTTTTATAGGCGGTTCCTGAAAAACTTCGCCCACATCGTTGATCCACTCACTAACTTTACCAAGGCCCACTTGGACTTCAAGTGGAAAACGCCGCAGGAACACGCCTTCGAGGAGCTTTAACTTCGCCTCCAGACACCTCCGTTACTTGCCCATTCCAACGAATTCGACGAGACCAAAATGCACACTGACGCAAGCTGCGTAGGTCCTGGCGCCGTTCTTCTGCAGAAGGCTGAAGGACTTGAACGGGTTATTAGTTACGCCAGCCAATCGCTATCCAAAGCAAAAGCCAATTATTCCACAATAGAAACGGAGTGCCTCACCATCATCTGGCTACGTCAAGACTTCGCCCCTACCTCTACGGCAGGTCCTTCAAAGTTGTGAGCGACCACCACGCCTTGTGTTGGCTAGCCACCTTGAAGGACCCTTCGGGTCACCTCGCACGATGGAGCCTGAGATTCAAGAATATGACATTACCGTCCTTTACAAGTCCGACAAGAAACACTCCAACGCCGACTGTCTCTCTCGTGCGCCTGTCGACCAACCACCTCCCGACGACCCAGGTGACGACTACTTCTTGGAAACGATAACTGCCAATGACTTCGCTGAACGATAGCGGGCCGACCCGGAACCTAAGGCCCTAATAGAATACCTCGAAGGCAGGACCACCGAAGTCCCAAAGGTATTCAAGCGCGCACTTGCGTCGTTCTTCCAGCGAAACGGTCTTCTCCAAAAAAAGAAAACTTTTCACCGCTTGAGCCAAGTACCTCGTTGTGGTGCCTTAAGCTCTGCTAGCAATTCTCAGGCTGGCACTGGCGTCCTCTTCGCACTCTTTCTTTTCCCTCTTTCGTGCGATGCGGTGCCAGCGATTCCAAATACGCTGCCGGGACTGTCAGCGACGCAAGACACCACCGACAAGGCTAGCGCGACTTCTGCAGCCAATTTAAGCACCTCGACGACCGTTCCAGCAGATTGGTATGGACATACTGGGGCCGTTCCCGACGTCCGCTTTCAGAAACAAGTGGATGGTGGTAGCTACCGACTACCTCACCCAATACGCCGAGAGAAAAGCCATGCCCAAAGATAGTGCATTTGAGGTAGCTAAGTTCTTCGTCGAAAATATTGTCCTACGTCATGGCACCCCGGAGGTCCTCATCACCGACAGAGTAATGGCATTTACTGCTTAACTAACTCAAGCGATCTCGGCATACAGCCAGACAAACCACCGCCGGATGACAGCGTACCACCCACAGACCAACGGCCTCTCCGAGCGGCTAAACAAGACGATCGCCGACATGCTGGCAATGAACGTTGATGTCGAATACAAGACGTGGGACGCCATTCTTCTCTACGTGACCTTCACATACAACACGGTGGTGCAGGAGACGACGCAGATATATATCTCCATACAAATTGGTCTTCGGAAGGAGCCCAGTAACGACGCTCGATGCCATATTACCTAACGTCACTGACGAAGAAAACCTCGATGTGAGTGAGTACCTTCAACGCGACGAAGAAGCCGACAACTCGCTCATCTCCGTATCAAGAATCAAAAGACGACTGACAGCAGCCGTCACAATCTTAAACGACGCTTCGTGGAATACCTTCGGCGACGCTTCGGTGAACGTGTTTGGCTGTGGACGCCGATACGCTGACGTGGACTGAGTAAAAAGCTTCTGCGACGCTACTTCGGACCGTACAGGGTGGTTCGACGTATCGGCCCACCTGATTACAAGGTTGTCCCCGACGGCATCACGAACTCTCAACGACGCCGATCGCGACCTCAAGTCGTCCATGTCACGCGCTTCAAGCCGTTTCATGCGCGTTGTTAACCTGAAACAGTGTTTTTGTATTATACTGTATTGTAATTTATTTATTGTATTTTCGTCCAATATTGTTGTACCTTCACCTTTGGTTAAAGCATCGGGACGATTCCTTTTTCAGAGGGGGGCAATGCCACGTTCCATTTTTCAAGTTTTGTTACCGCCCCAATACACTACACCCTCAGCGCAAACTGCGCCTGCAGTTTTCGAGAAGCTTCAGGACTGTAGTAGATCAATTCGATGAGATCATGCCCACTCTGCGAACTGTACAGATAATTCCCGAACCTACGTCACCACCAGTGATAACGCTAGAACATTCGATGGCAAAAGTATAATTGCCGACGCACTTCGCCGCTTGTCATTAGTTGATCGACGGCCGACGGTCTGTTCACCGCTATCAGTTCAAGACTGCTGCTGTAGTCCGACTTTCCGTTTACTGGGCACAAGTTCGCCGAAATAAACAATTGATTATTCAACTCGCAGTGTGCTCCATTCGTCCACGTCACGACCCCGTGTCAATATATATATATATTTATATATATATATATATATGTGTGTGTGTGTGTGTTGAAAATGAAAAATATAATTTGTTGAAAATGACCCTAATTCCTTTTGTTGAACAACTTCAAGCTTACTGGTAAGCTTTTTTATCCAGGGGAACCAGGCAGTCTTTGCGTACAGCAGGATCTAGTGGATAAGTTTAGAGGCCAATAACTTCGTGTCTGGTGGTGCTTGCTGGAATCGTGCTTTTTGTAAATAATATTTAGAGCAGGCGATTTATTGAATATAAGTGTCCGATCGTAAGTGCCGTGACGAAATGACCCCTGCTGATATTTATGTTTGGTGACCTTTGGAATTGTAGCTATATTATTGGCGCAATCAAATTAGGATTACCTAATGCTTTCTTCTAACTTCGGTAAGAGCGGGGTCTTTTTTGTTGCTGCGTACTTGCCAGTCACTGCATTAGGCTGAACCTGCTTCTAAGGTAGCCTGAAAGGCGATGAGATGACAGTTACAGTTGATTTTTTTAATGTGATGCTGTCGTGTGTAAATAACGTGCATGCAACATCAACAGATGAAGGAAGATTGTTAACAAAAGCTGAGAACAAGGCCGGTACCAACAGGATATTTTGTGGTTCGCCGTAGGTGACTGGTACATAGAAGATTGAACATGATTTTATTCCACGATCCGCGACCCATCTATGAGGAGTTCGGTAATCCACTCGAGAATTTGACCGTTTCCCGGATAATTTGGAGTTTCAAGATGAACTTCCTATGCAACACAAGATCAATGAATTCGAGAAATCCAAGATCGAAAAGATGGATTACCAGCGAAGACAAGGCGACTTCTTGATTTACCATCCCATGCATGTGCACATTACTTTTAGAGTTGCTTTCTTTCCTGAATTTATTGATATATAAAAAATAAACAATTTAATTATAAGGGATACTTCTCTTTTGTACTGGTCAGCAGTGGTAACGAAGCGTGACCGTTACCACTAAATTCTGCTTAGCAACAGAGCTGGCTTCCTTATAATGTGATTCACTGATGTTAAAAACTGAATTTCCTTTACCCTCAGTAAAGATCACCGCGGCTACGACAACCCGTCCCGTTCCTATGCCAACGCCGAGGACCCCAGCTTCTAGGCCTCCGGCGACTACACCGACGAAGACGACTGCCACTAAATTGACTCGTGAGTTCATATCAACCGCCGTTACGAAATACTTGTACACTTCCTCGGGGTGTTTTTTCTTTATCACGCACAAAGTCTGGTCTATATTCACGTACTAAGACACCAGAACATAGCTACTTTCACGCGAAGGGTACCGACACTTTAATATGTTGTTCTTTTGCCAGTGCTCATCACAAATTTCAGACACAACCTACTTCTCGCGAATAAGTACTGCTTTTGAAATCTCTTTAAATGATTATACCCAGCAATCGTTCACTTTCCTTCTGTAATCAATGTACCTGTATGCAACTATGCAACGCCATTTTGAAAGTCCTCTCGTGGATTTCCAGTTTGACCTCGGTAATCAGTGGAACACGAGCTTTTTCATTTGACAAGCATCCCTCGCCACGATTGCGAAAACATCTAAAAAAGCACTAGCTTATTTTACTTATTTCACATATGAGTGATATACAACAATGTAGGCGAGCCTCAGCATTGCTGTATTCGCTGCTGAATGATCTGCGAACGCTTCGTAATTAAATTTCATCGTTAGGACCTGTAAAGAGGTGTGGCATAAACACTTTGCGCGAAACAATATTTTTGTTTCATGTCTGTCGGATGAAGAAACAAGAACGTTGTCATTACCTTTAAATTCTATTTAATGACAGTGCAGTCGTCTTTATATGGCAATTCACCGGTGTTTAATACTGAACATGTTTCGACGCAGCATTAACTACAATTCCGACCAGCCACAGTCCTATGCCTAGACCAAGTACCCCGACTAGAAGCCCTTCGAAGATTACACCAAGCACGACTACTTCCACGACAACCACCCGTAAGTGTCACGTTGGTTGCTGTCTATCTGTGCTACGATATGCAGCGATGCCTCATTGCTCATTTTTTTTATTCACGTTCTCAAACTAGTCGCCGTAGTCGTAAACAAAGGAAATATCCCTCTGCATTGATTGTGGCAAAACACAGGAAGAATGTAGCCTGCCATGAACCTGTGATACTTCAGTCACTTTTTATAAACTTTCATAATTTTTATCACTTTTTTATGAACGTCGTAATAACAAACTTCTGAATTCTTGCATTTGACTGCCGTCTAAATGCGGCCGCATGGCCTGGGAAGCTCCCATTGCCTGGACACGGTGGCACTAACACACGGACAGCGTTCAGTTAGTCCCGTGAAGTTAAACACTGCGCATTCGCAGCAAAGTGGTAGTGGTACGTCTTTAAAACACAGCAAAAATATCAATATATGCACGTGCATTCGCCTGTCATAGATTCTGAATTTCTTCAGTTGTGAGCGGTACCTGAGTAATGCGAGCCGCGTCTTCACGTATAAAAATATCCCATCATAGGTAGGTATTTATATTTTCTTAATGCAAAGCTGTTCACATAATGCTAAGGTAACATAATCTCAACTATGTGGATATTGTCGTCATGGTCACAAATTCAAGCAAGAAAGCTTTCAATTTCAACAGAGAAGTAAATACTTGTCGCATGTGCAAAAATAACAAACAAGCTCGATCATTTACTCTGCAAAAAGCGGCGGATTTGACTTGAAGGGGCAAGAGCCCCATGGTGTGGAATAGGGCCCAATGGGCGCGCCAATAGCCGTGGTCGTGGCCAGTGTTACCGAAGAGGCACCTTCATTTTATAACAAATTGTGTCCAGGAATCGCAACTTGCGCCAAATATATTCTTTTCAATTCCTATAAAGTAGAAAATTCAGCGCATTTCAATTTCAGGCATTACCGGGCAGTTTCGTTCTATTCTTGCAATTTCTCAGTGCAGGAGAGACATTTTCATAGTTTTATCGAGTTAAGTACGATCGCCCCATAAGGCTGGTGTCAGATGCTTCAAGAGCAGCAAAAGTACGCAAAACATGTTACGAAGGTGGAGAACTGGTAGCTTGACGACAAATAGAGTGCAGTACACTCCCCCTACTGCTAGAGACGATAGTCTTTCTTGGAGACTTTAAACGTAAACATTTTGGTCTGTCTTTGTGTCTGTACACTTGTCTGTTTGTCCACACCTAACGGTACCGGGTACTCTGAATAGACTGGTCGATACTCTGAACGGCGGACCCCATCCGCAACGCCCACCAATTTCGCTCAAGGTTTAGCGCTAGTACTGGTGCAATTGTCAACCAAAAAGCAAATATTGCGCATGCATGGGGCACCATAACAACGCGTATATATTTTGAATGTGCGTCTTTTACTAGAAAAGGCATACATAGGTAATTTTAGGCACCATAGCGCTGATCACGCTGCGCTGACCATGCAACGCTTGCGCGAAAAGTCGAGTGTTTCCAACGCTTTGCTAAGACGAGACAATGGTGGCACCTACCCGTCACCTTGTGTTCTACACCTTATCACCTCTGAGACGGGTGCGCACACCCGTATCAGAGCCACGTGTTTCGTTTTCCAAGAACACTGCCAGATGGCGCACATGTCTCACGTGTGACGTGACTTGATGTGTTCGTTCGCCTCCGCTGCACGCTCGAGGCACACTAACGCAGCGCCTACAGAATACCATTCACCGATTTTCTTGCGCAAAACACCAAATAATTGTTCTGTTCACTCTCTCCACACGCGAGACTATCGTCTTAAGGTGATATTTGCAGATCAACATGCAGATACGGTGTCAATTGTTTTGCATAGGGAAAGATATCCTGCTACCCGTAGTATTCAGTATGCGTTCAAGCATTCTATATTATAGCGTACTTGAACGAATGAAGATGTTTAATATGACTTAAGCGTAAAATTTTTTACCACAAAATGACGAAATGCCGTATATTGATATCTGGAGTTTAACGTCCCAAAACCACCATCTATATATGACAGAGGCCGTAGTAGAGGGCTCCAAAAATTTCAACCACCTGGGGTTCATTGACGTGCACCTAAATCTGAGCGCATGGGCCTACAACATTTTTGCCTCCATTGAAAAGGCAGCCGCCGCTGCCGGTATTCAATCCTGCGCCCTACGAGTCAGCAGCCGAGTACCTTAGCCAGTAGTCCACCGCGGCAGGGTGACGAGCTAGCGTATTTTTACGCAGACAATAGTAGCACTCAATAAAACTAAGCAGTTTTGTCGCGTGTCTAGAGGAGTCGTGACTGTTGAGAAACTAAGACTTTGTTAAAATGCAACGAAACCCTCTAAATGTGCTCGTAAAAGTTGTAACAGTGGGCCACTCAGGCGCCATGTTCCTTTGAATCGAATACAGTACACTGAACTGCATTGCTCAAGAGCGCTCACGTTTGTCCAGTCCGTGTCAAAAACAGAGATTGGGTGAGAGCTTTCTGTATTTGCCTGGGCACAGCTATGCAGTGTCTTGTCGCAAAGGTGGTTTCAGTGTGTCAAGTACTAAAGTGCCATTGAGATCAAGTTATGATGGGCATAATGTCATTACCACTTTTTTGTGGGGTATCAATGGGAACTAGCACGCAGGGTTAATTCATTTATTCTTTCTGTATCTGCAAGACAATCGTTGTTTTTGTTTTGCACATTGACTGATTGTTGAAAAATTTGCATCATCCCTACCCTTGGCTCTGAAGATCTGAAGCAGGACCCGGAGAATGCGTTGCGCTCTTCGACTTCACAAAAGACGTGTTCTCACACCCACATTACTAATTGTTGTATGGTAATACGGTAGTCGTAATTACCTACCTCATGTCCTCTTTGCTTGGCCATGCCAACATAGACATGTGCCGAGTCGCTGCTACCGAAGAAAGAGAAGATCCAGATAAAAAGGGTATAAATAATAATGAAATGATCCCACCCCGAAGCAGTCAAAGTGCGGGCTAATCAGCTTTTAGTTCGAGCGTCAAAATTCAGGCGCTTCTGATCTCCCGGGCTAGAGCAATAGGTGCATCAATGGTCACTAGCAGCTTTCTGAACAGAGAAGAGGCCACCAACCTTTAATTTTATCAGCTCAAATAAACGCTTCTGCAACAACAACTCGTCCTGCAATGAGTCATTAGGGTTTTTGCATTCACTACGCCTTAAAAAGTGATTAGATCCTCATGATTTTAAATGCTGTTTTAAAGTTCTCAAAAAGCGCAAAGTTGAAAAAGAAACTTGATCTTGGTTTGATTTATCAAAATTGTGAAGCGAAATTCTGTCCGCTATATGAACGCTTCGCTGATTAGTTTTTAGTACCCGAAGTGTGAGTGACGGTGGCTTTAATGGTTAAGGAAAAAGTGATGTATAATAAAAGGGTCTAAAAAAAGTAAAGGTTGAAGGCAGCAGGGGCGCATTGTGAATAACAAAAATTACAAGGCGTAAAGGGGAGAAGGAATATGCCGCCACCATATAGTTGCATACGATGGATACAAACGAGACAAAGCCCCGCTTACGTGAGGAGTACACTCTAAAAACTTTAACACCCTAAAAGATGTGAAACGGGTGCACGCACCAAAACACCTATATGAACACCCTTTTCACACTACATTTTTAAAACTTCATATCATTTTAGTTTATTTCCTTAAAGACCCGCGAGGCGGTATTACATAAGAGGGGGTAAATATAAACACAAAACATAGAAGCTAAAGATTTAACATAAAAAGTGAATATTGTTATTTTCTATGAACGATGATGGGCAGAGAATGGTTGCGATTTCACTGTGAAGGTCGTTCCAGTCTGGTGCGGTACGTGGGAAAAACGAGGCAGAAAAAGTAGTAGTCCGGGAGCGTGGCCGAGCAACTTGAAGCAAATGGCTCGTGCGGTGAGATATGCGTGTTGCAGGAACGATATAAGGTGGGGCATGCAAGGGACTAGGAAAAAGTTTGTGGAACAATGACAGGCTGGCTATACGACGGCGAAGTTCTAGATCTGGTAAACCAGATTCTGCTTTCAATCCAGATACCCTGACATTTGAAGAGTATGAACAGTGAATAAATCTAGCAGCCCGATTTTGAAGTGATTCGATGGCATGTGTAAGATAAGATTGTCGAGAGTCCCAAATTGGCGATGCGTATTCTAGTTTAGGTCGAACGATGGATTTGTATGCTTGTAATTTTACGTGTTGTGGAGCGAGGCATAAATGGCGTTTAAGGAAGCCCAGTGTTTTATTTGTAGATGAAATGATATTAGTGATGTGTATGTTCCATGAAAGATCGCTACAAAGAGTGACGCCCAAATACTTGAATGACGGAACATTTTCTAGAGGGATGGCATTAACTGCGTACGGATACACAAGCGGCATGTGGCGGCGATGAAATGAAACGACTTTACATTTACTCGGGTTAAGTTCCATGAGCCAGCGCTCACACCATTCCTGGAGGCAGTTTAGGTTGGCTTGTAAGGATGACTGTTTTGAAGTGTCAGTAACAGTGTCATATATAACGAAGTCATCAGCAAACAGGCGGGTTTTACAGGTTAGCTTTGAAGGCAAGTCATCTATGTATATAAGGAATAAAAGGGGACCAAGAACCGAACCCTGGAGTACTCCGGACGTTACTGAAAGAGGATTAGAGATACGGTTGTTGATATAAACAGACTGAAAGTGGTTTGTAAGGAATTCTCTGATCCAATTTAGTATGTTCGGGTGAAGATTTAACTGGGAAAGTTTTAGTAACAGCCGAGAATGGGGTACTTTGTCGCACGCTTTGAAAAAATCTAAGAATGCGGCATCGGTTTGTAAGTTACAGTCCAGGTTAGTATGCAAATCATGAACAAATAAGGCCAGTTGCGTTTCACAAGAGAAACCTCTGCGGAACTCATGTTGTGCTGGATGAAAAAAGCTGTTTGAATCAAGAAAGTCTATGATATGCGTGTAGATGACGTGTTTCATAATTTTACAGGGTACCCTGGTTAAGGATATAGGACG